GTGGACAACAATATTTTCTACTTTATTTAATGTGAAATAAACAGAACTAATTGTTTAACAAAATTTTGTTACCAAATTGATATGTATAGTGGGAAGTGATGTTGAACCTAAACTTATATTATTAATGTGTAACCCACGTTATATTTAGATTCAATAGAGAGAATGAGGAGTCTCTGGTCTGGAGAATCTGCAAATAGAACGCTAATTTTGTTGTCTATTAGCATACGCGGACGGCATGTGGTTGTTGGTTTTTGTAATTATATTCTTGTTGCCGGGGTTGTTTATCAAGCGTGTGTTTACGTGACTTTTAGAACCACTCGTGTGTTTTATTGATATTAATGTGGTGGTAGTTTCTTTCGTAAATATTTTGATATAAAAAAATATCAGTGATTATTTAAAAAAAGAGATTTTTGTATAGCTGTGGTTTTTTACTAAATTTCTTTTATTTACATGAATAGTTTTATTTAGTTTAACTCTCTCAATAAAATATGTACAGAAATATGTTTTGGACTTTAAAGCTATAAGCGACAGAATCATGGCCTTAAAATTAAACGCCAGGCCAAACCCAATAAATATTGTTCAGGTGTATGCTCCGACTGCTGCTTCGGGCGATGTCGACATCGACCATTTCTACCATGACCTAAGAAGTTCTCTCCAAAACATTCCGAACAAAGAGCTAACTATAGTAACCGGCGACTTCAATGCTAAAATTGGAGATACAACTGATAACGAACATATTAAAACTATTGTTGGTAAATATCGTATCGGTGTAAAAAATGAACGGGGTGAACGCTTACTTGACTTTGCAATCGAAAACAATCTAACTATAATGAACACAACATTTCAACATCATATCCGAAGGCTCTACACATGGAATAGTCCAGGAGACAGAGTACGCAACCAGATAGATTATATTCTCTCTAACTCGAGCTGGAGAACCTCGTTCAGGACAGTACGGACTTACCCCGGAGCAATATGCGGCTCGGATCACAAGTTACTGGCAGCAAAGATTCGTATAAAGTTAAAAAATGTTGTAAGAAAACAAAGACCAAATCAGATGGAGATCCCCGACGTAACACATTTCCAACAAGAACTACTGAAAACATCGTGGAACATTAATGAGAACACCCAACCCCAACAGATTTGGATAGACTTTAAAAATTGTCTGAGTAATGCCACTTCTCGACAACTAAACAAAAGACAAAAAAACAAACATTGGATTTCTGACAGCACATTGCTAAAAATTGAACAAAGACGAACATTAGTGCAAAGTGGTATAAAAACACAAGATGGAAAAGATAAATATAGAAAAATAAATACAGAGATCAAACACAGTTGCACCATCGACAAGAACAACTACTATGAAAAAATATGCCAGGAAATAGAATCTCACGCTTTAAAAAGATAAAGTACCTCACAAGAGAATTCAAGCCAAAAGCACAGGCAATAGAAGACGATCGAGGACAACTTAAAACCGAAATTAACAAAATAGTGAAACGATGGCGAACATACTGCGGAACACTGTATAAAGAAAAAGATCTTCAGCCTAGTTGCTCTTTCCACAGTAATATAATTAATGAAGAACCAGACATACTGAGATCGGAAATTGAAGCAGCAATAAAAAACCTAAAACATCATAAAGCCCCGGGACCAGATCACATCACGGCCGAAATGCTCCAAGCGTCGGGAGATTTTGGTGTGGACATCTTGCACAAGTTATGTAATATGATATGGCATACTCACCAATGGCCATCAGATTGGACCGATTGTTCCATAATAATCATCCACAAAAAGAGATCTCCAGCCAAATGCGACAACTTTCGTACCATTGTGCTAATTTAACATGCCAGTAAGTTTCTTCTTCATATCATTAACGAAAGGTTAAAACCGTATATTCAACCACAAATCCCTCCAGAGCAAGCAGGATTCACAAGAGGTCGACGTGAACAAATTTTGAATATCCGTCAGATTATCGAAAAGGCCCGAGAATTTAACAATCCGCTCTATATTTCTTTCATAGACTATCGAAAAGCTTTTGACAAAGTCAAATGGTCAAAACTATGGATGGTTCTTAAAGAAATGGGCGTGCCTCTTCATTTGATTTCATTGATCCAGAATCTCTATGTAAATACCAAAAGTAGAATTACCATCAATGGCGTTACTTCGGAAGACTTCCAGCCTACCTGTGGTGTTAGGCAGGGGTGCATACTATCTCCTCAGTTATTCAATATATATATACTGAATATATCATGATAAGGGCATTGGAACATTGGCAAGGGGGGATAACAATTAATGGTCACAAAATTACCAACCTCAGATTTCCAGACGATACGGTCCTTCTAGCGGGAAACGAAGAAGAGTTACTGCAGCTTCTAAAATTGGTTGAAGACGAAAGCGAGAAACTTGGACTTGAAATTAATCCCTCTAAAACAAAAATTATGGTTCTCGACAGGCAAAACAACAACAAACCTGATGTAGTCAGCATTGGTCGTTTTGAGGTTGTAAGTCAATATATATATCTTGGGTCACTTGTAAACAACACGGGATCGTTAGAAGGGGAAATAAGAAGAAGATGTGAAATGACAAGAGTGGCAGTGCGAAAACTCTGAAAGATATTGCGAGACAAAAACATATCTAAACACTTAAAAAAAAGGCTTGTTCACTGCCTAATATTTCCTATATTAATGTATGGCTCCGAGTCCTGGACGATGAGACAGTCAGAAATGAAAAAAATTGACGCAACTGAGATGTACTGTTGGCGACGAATGCTCAGAATTCCCTGGACTGCCCGGCGAACCAATGAATCCATAATCCAAGAACTGAACATCACAGAACGCCTCTCAACTTCTATACAGTCACGTATACTTAAATATTTCGGTCACGTTATGAGGAGGGATACTGACTGTATGGAAAAACTCATTCTACGGGGCAAGGTTCCGGGAAGAAGACCAAGAGGCCGCTCGCCCTCCCGATGGATAGACCAGCTATCAAAAATCACCCACAAGCCACTGCACACGCTTGTACATGAAGCACAAGACAGGGAATTATGGAGACAAACCTCACACATCACCTGACCACTACATTCTTTTTGTAGGAATAAAGACAGAGAGAGAGAGAGATTAATGTAAATACATATTATAATAAAAGAAATTTAGATGAAATGTTTTTTAAATAACAAAGACAAAACTAAGGTCAAATATAAGTCCAGTGTGTACAGGGTGGTCCGAACTGTATTCCGGAAACTTCGGCAGCATATTCTGCAGATAAAAATAAGTAAAAAAGTTCGTATAAATGTATGTCCTAAACTGCTTACTTTCAGAGATACAGGGTGTAGAAGTTTCATTTTTATTTCGATTTTTTCCAAATAATTTTCAAACGTCAATATTTGGATGAAAATTGGTGTATGGGAGTTTTTTGACATGAGAAATTTGATTTTGCTGTTAATATGACTCCTACTAGTAGAGGGCGCCACCTACATATTTGTTAATTTGTGTGAAGCGTAATAACTTTTCTTCCGTACCTGTATAAAACTACTGAGAAAATAAATATACATTTACGACATTTTTTATGTAAAAACCAAACGACATTTTTTACGTAAAAAATGTCTCTTGGTAAAAATCGCTACAATTATTGGTTTTCGAGATATTTGGAATCGAAATTATCAATACCTGTCATCACTGACATAAATTAAATATGATGACTAAATAGTTATTAGACTGAGATCAAAAATTTGAAAGTTTTTGTGCCAAAAATTAAACAGAAACTGTTTTATCATCATTTTTTTGCAGAAAAATTTATGAATAATTTAAAAAAATAAAAATTTTCCAAATTTATTATTTCAGTGAAATAACTATTTACTCAACGTGTTTATTTTTCGTCAATAATGACATGTATTGACTATTTCCATTCTAAATAGCTTAAGAACGGTTGCTCGTAGCGATTTTTACAAAGATATATTTTTTGCGTAAAAAGTCACAGAGATGTAAATTTTTTCCCTCGGTAGTTTTATACACGTACGGACAAAAAGTTATTACTTTTCAAAACAGTTAAAACACATGTAGGTGGCGCCCTCTACCAGTAGGGATCATACTGACATCAAAATCAAATTTCTCATGTAAAAAAATCCTAGACACCAATTTTCATCCAAATATTAATGTTACTTCAGAAATTATTTGGAAAAAATCGAAATACAAATGAAACTTTTACACCCTGTATCTCTGAAACTCGGCATTTTAGGATAAAAACTCGGCATACATTAATAGCCGAAGTTATCCGAATACAGTTCGGACCACCCTGTATAGTGATGCCTTATACACCAAGGATTTCTAATTCTTTTTATTAACCCTGTTGTAAACTATCCTTAAATCCACCCCCATAGCAAATATACCGGTCTGGTCATTGAAACTGCGTAGTCTAGATTTTAATATGTAAGACAGTGATTTAAACAGCTTAATGAAAAATCAAATGTATTAAAAAGAGGTAAAAGTTGTGTTGATATATTTCTTCTGTGCCGAATTTTGTATCAAAATTTCAAACCGCACAAGTAGGTGTTTACGGGAAATGTTGCATTGAACTTTATTTTTCACAATTAGTTACTCATTTTACTACAGCTCTAATAGATTACTTATATTTAGGTTAAATATATATTATTTTCATTTCAGCAGTATACATGAAAATTTTTAAAATAGTTACCGGCAACACTGCATGCCGCTTTTTATTTTGTCTCTCTGTCTGTCAACCGGTAATTAATATTTACCTCTGTCGTATGCATTAAAATACAGATAACGAGGAAGTGTCCAGGTTGGTATATCGTTACAGTCTAGTGAGACGATTAGTTTTAGGAAACTCTTGAAAAAGGCCTAAAAAGCCGAAACATACGTAGAAATAAAATTACTTTTATTAAGCACGAAACATCTCTAAAAGCGTGTTTTATTAAAATACTAAAGTTACAGTGTTAAATGCCCAACCAAACATAATCTAAATTTAATTTTTCCTTTCAGTATTACACCTGACTGCTCTTTTGGAGAAATGGTAGACAAGCCGGTGCAGCTGTTCATGTTCTGCGCAGTTTATGGTCCAAGTTCCCTAATCCTTCTAGTATGTTACGGTTACATCTACTTCGTAGCCAGGGGACACGCAAGAGCTATCCGTTCTGAGCAACAACAATCGTTGCACAGGCATCCGCAACACTATACCGGAACGGTTGGACATCCCAGATACGGATTAGCCCTTGCCATCACTACTGGGTTGTTTATCGGATTATGGGTGCCTTTCCAGGTCTGTATTAAAATAATAGATATTTAAATAAACATATTTTTTAACATAAACATTAGAGTGGGTGAAAAAAGTCGAGTATTTTTTTCACTCTATACTCTGAAAAAAAGGTTGGTAGACACCTCAAAAAAATTATATCCAAGTATAAGCTCTTAATTTTAATACAAAGGTCCGCCGCCTTTCAGTTTTCTATTTTTTCCTTATTATTAGAAAGAAAAATTCATATCTCCGGTATATACTATTTGGAAAAAAAAATCTCGCCTCATATGTTTGTAGGAAATTGAATTTTGTACAAATAAGATCTCTTACAATTTTTTTGTAAACTTTACCGTTCACAAGTTATTAAAGCTTGAAATTATTAATTAGTATTTTAAGGCGGATCTTTCTTCTTATCAATTTTATAACTCGTTAACAAAAAAAATCATTATGATACTCGCAACTCACATTTTTGTAGGAAATTCACTGCTCAATAAAAATGGTTTCTTATGATTAGTCGATTAAATTAACCGTTTAAAAGATATTCATCGTCAATCTTCAATGCACAATAATTTTAACAGATTTTGATTAATAATTCGAAAACTCCAATTTATTTTATGAGTTTCGGGAACATTTTTACAAATTTAAGTTTATACTTTAGTGAAAGTAACTACTATGAAAGTTTTCTGTTCGAAAATGTATTTGAAATTTATTATTCTTATAATATTGTTACGGATTCCGAGGTCCATTAATTTAAACTCACGATAAAATACTTAACGAATTGATTAAATAACAATAACAATATAAGTCACAGGATCACAATAGAAACTAGTTAAAAAAAGTCATGAAACTCATAAAATATATTTTTTTAATCAATTTATTTATTCTCTCATATAAAACATATATACAACACATAAATAATGTACAGCATATATAAAATATACATATCATAGAAGATCTTGGTGTCGTCCTTTTTTATCTGCCGCAGCATCAGCTACCTGTTGGTACCAGATCCTGGCCAGATGGTATCGAAGGCATTCTTTTCTTAATTATTTTTGTCGTCGATATCTGGATTTAGTGTATGGTTTCTATTTAATATTAACCATTTAATACTCTTTTTGAATTGTATAAATTTCAATTTTTTTACCTCCTCTAAAACTATTGAATGTTTGAATTGTTTTTGTTGTTAGTCTCTGTGTTAATGTCTTATTTTTACTTTATGGTTTCTAATATGTGATTTTCTCCTTGCTTGGTAATTGTGAACTTCTTTGTTTGTATTTAATTTAATATTCGTTTTTTTAGTATTGTTTTTTATTTTATATAGCAGTAGCAAGCTATTAAAAAGTATTAATTGTTTTATATCTAGTTCTTGTATTGTATCAAATAATATGTGTGTTGGTGTTCTTTTGTGTAATATATATATATATATATATATATATATATATATATATATATATATATATATATATATATATATATATATATATATATATATATATATATTTAATTTTAATTTTTTTTGTTGACGTTGCAGTGCGTTTAAATTCTTTTCGGTCGTATTACTCCATATATTTATTGAATAGTTCATCCTTGAGGTAAACAGTGCGTGATATAAAGGTTTTCTCATGTTATTTGGTATCAATTTTTGAATTTTTATTAAAGCTGCAATTGTCCGAATACAGGGCAATTGTCCGACGACACGGAGTATTGTAGCTAAACGATTATATTTTTACAAATTTCAAGTTTTGGGTTCGATGAAGGACTATTAGAGGTACAATTTAAAAATAATTTACAAGATACAGAGTGTCCCAAATAAGTAAAAAATATCAAAGTTGTATTTTTTTAAATGGAACACCCTGTATATTATTACATTTTTAGTTTCTACGATTAAAATAAAGGTAAATTTGATTAAGGTTTATTACACTTAAACCTCACCGTTTTTGAAATATTTTCAATTTTGTGAAATTGCAGTAAAAATTTTAAGGCTTCATTTCTCCAAGCGTATCAAAGTTTTTAATACTAAATATTTACTGAAGTTTATTTATTGATCAGTTATTGTGTTGCAATAATAAAAATAATACTACCTTATACAGAGTGTCTAAAAATTTATTTTAAATAATTTATAGAATAAAATCTAAATTACAAGAAAATGCATTTTCTACGGAAACTTAAAGAGATAGGTAAAAAATGGTATAATATAATTTGATAGACAATTAAATTGTGCATCTGATTCTCGTAAAATATACAGGGTGTTCCATTTAAATTAAACAAGTTATTGCCGTTTGAAGCTAATAATTACTTAAAATAAATTTTTAGACACTCTGTATTATTTTTATTATTGCAACACAATAACTGATCAATAAATAAACTTCAGTAAATATTTAGTATTAAAAACTTTGGTACCCTTGGAGGAATGAAGCCTTAACATTTTTACTGCAATTTCACAAAATTGAAAATATTTCAAAAACAGTAAGGTATATAAACCTTAATCAAATTTACCTTTATTTTAATCGTAGAAACTAAAAATGCAATAATATACCGGGTGTTCCATTTAAAAAAATACAACTTTGATATTTTTTACTTATTTGGGACACTCTGTATCTTGTAAAATTATTTTTAAATTGTACCTCTAATAGTCCTTCATCGAACCCAAGACAAATTTGTAAAAATCTCATCGTTTAGCTACAATACTCCGTGTCGTATGTGGTGAACAACCCTGTATTTTCATTTTTCAGCTTTACTACATGAGCATCCCATTTCAAATTATTTTGTATTTTTAACCCTAAATAGTTGATTGTTGATGTTTCTCGTAGAATATGGTTTTGTAGTTTTATTTGTAAATTTAATTTTTATTTTGTGGTTTTAAATATAATATATTCTGTTTTTAGCTCGTTTATGGTTAGGAGATTGTTGTAGCACCATGCTTGCACTTTTTGTAGGACGTTTGTTGATATTTGATGTTTGTTTCAAGAATGTTCTGAGCTGTTCCTGTATATACTAAACATGTATCGTCGGCATATCTATGTATGATGCCATTTAATGCTAGTTCGCAGAGATCGTTTGTATAAAGGAAATACAGGAGAGGTGGTAGAAATTGGAATTGTTCGAATTATTAATCAAAAACTGTTAATATTATTGTGCATTGAAGTTTGACGATGAATATCTTTTAAACGGTTAATTTAATCGACTAATCATACCATGTTTAAACCATTTTTGTAGAGCAGTGAATTTCTTACAAAACCGTAAGTTGGGTGTATCATAATGATTTTTTGTTAACGACTTATAAAATTCATAAGAAAAAAAAAGAAATTCTTCAACCTTTAAAAACTTTCGAACCGTGAGGTTTACAAAAAATTGTAAAATATCTTTTTTGTAGAGAATTCAATTTCCTACAAATGCATGTCTGAGATATTTTTTCCAAAGAGTAGATACCGAGATATGAATTTTTCTTTCTAATAATAGGAAAAAATAGAAAACTGAAAGGCGAAGGACCTTCCTATTAAAATTAAGAGCTCATACTTGGATAGAATTTTTTTGAGGTGTCTACCAACCTTTTTTTCAGAATAGAAAGTGAAAAAAAAACAGTTTTTTTGATCCACCCTAATACACATCTTAAGTTAAAATCAAATAATTCTATAACTATTATTAAAGTTGTGTATTTGTATTAAGGTTTGGAACTTTCGGTATTAGAACAGCAAGCAAAACACTAATTCAGCACAATACACCAAAATACTTTACTTTTAAACATTAGACGCAAGTTTCGCTAACCATTTTAGCATCATCATAAGAAAATTAAAAATTTTTAATCAGTTTTAATCATCTGCTGATGATGCTAACGTGGTTAGCAAAATGCGCGTCCATTGTTTACAGGTACATTGTTTTGGTGTATTGTAACGAATTAGTGTTTTATTTTACTATTCTATATAACTACACACTTATAATGACCTATTTTTTTTATAAAATAAACGCCCTGATGTTTACTATCTCGACCAGCCAATTACATCAATTTGTTTAACCCAAATATTTTTCGAGTGTTTTGACAAGCCGAAATGAAAATTCGTTATCGGGATAATATACATATATGTCTATTAACACAGCAAAATATTTCGTTTTGTCATGTAAAATATTATTGAGTCGTAAGTACATATACAGGGTGAGTTTTCTACGATATTCTCTAGGGGTATCTTGGAGACTACTGAAGTTAGAAAGTCGGTTAATGGGAAAAGAATTGCAGTTTTATGAGATCAAATATATGCGCCTTTCAGATTTTTGAAAAAGTTTATGGTTTGTTAGATATTTCGAAAAAAAACAAATTTCGGCTATTTTAAAAATGTTCCCTAATTCCATTATAATCTATTTTAGATAAGAAGTTTTTAGATAAATGTTGTAGATAATCACATCCTTAATGAGATTTTGTTTTCGTTTTTTTTTTCTAAAGCCTGCCTTTTTTTCATATTATGACACAAACGTGTTTTTTTAAATGGAAAAAATATGATATAATATATAATTTTGAATTTTTAAACTTTTCTATTCGATATGTTTATTTTGTGTCAATAATGGCATGCATTGACCATTTCTATTCTAAATATCTTGAGAACGATGGCTCGTAACGATTTTTACAGAGACATTAAGACATTTTTTACGTAAAAAATCACGGAAATGTATATTTTTTCACCCAATAGTTTTATACGGACGAAAAGTTATTACTCTTCAAAACAATTAAAACATTTGAAGGTGGCACCCCCTACAAATAGGAGTCATTGTAACAGTAAAATTTCCTCGCAACGACCTCTGTGTGCTAGCTCATAAATTATCGCAAATAACTATTATTTTTGCATCATGTTTACTATAATTTTATTGTTAAATATTATTTTATTTAAATTTTACAATTATGCAACCCGATATACACCGCGCTATAGATACACAATATTGTCACTGGACCAGGCACACCAGCAGTAGTAGGCTTTTTGTTCATCTCTCTATATCTTTGACCATCACTTTTGTCACTTGTCACTGTCAGATCAAAT